TCGAAACCCAGTTTCTAGCGTTGTAAGTCCGCAGACGTACCGCTGTGCCATTGGGAGGTGGGCTACTTAACCTTGCTGCAAAGTTATGTACACCACAGCTTATAATAATAAGTTAGCTTAATCAAAAGTACTGATTTAATATTTAGTTGTTGCTATACAATGGGCTATCTGTGCTCACCACTGGCATCGAAACCCGGTTTCTAGCGTTTAAGTCCGCAGACATACCGCTGTGCCACTGGGGAGGCTTAATATTTAGCAACCACTTATGAATAAAAACGCTAAGTAATTCAGAACAAACGTGCAGAAACAATGATAAGTATAATTCTGGAATATTAAATCCATAAGAATATACAACATTAAATAACAATTGCTTTCAGGTATCACACAAACTGGGGTATTTGTTTCTCTATATACATCACAGAGTTAACTTAATATCTTACGCTCTTCTACACCTGCAGCAACGTTAATTGTTGTTTTAAAATATCTGCGTCTCTAGATTTATCGAGGTATTATTTTAATAATTTCATGTATTTGAGTGTCTGACTCTTCCACACAAAACATTATATTATCTATGTTATTTAAAGTGCCTGACTTTACAAACACTGCGATAGTATAATGATGTTTAATTCTTCACACGCATCACAATGTTAACTTGATGATTTAAGATAGCGAATCTCCATATACATCAGGATTCTGACTTGTTTAGTTCAGGTCTCTAAATTCTCACACTTCGCAATGTTAACTTGATGATTTAAAATCATTGTTTCTCTTCTCACATTACAACGTTAAATTCATGAATAAGGGTGCCTTAATCTCCAATATTACATTATTAACTTGATGATTTAAAATCATTGTTTCTCTTCTCACATTACAACGTTAAATTCATGAATCAGGGTGCCTTAATCTCCAACATCACATTATTAACTTGATGATTTTATATGCCTTATTCTACACGCGCACCACAGGGTTATTTTGATAAATTCTGGTATTTATCTGTTAGCGGTAAGTTTGAGAGCTTATAAAGCTATAATTCGGAGTTCGGTTCGTGTAGTGTTGCTTAACTTACTGTATAAACAAACACAATACAGTTTATCTGTTCATTCGTCTCGCAGTACTTAACAAAAGATTTCAGTTGTATTTGTCTCATTTGAACTTGGTGATTTCAGGTTTGAATTGGTAACTCCGGAAGACCGACACTGGGGCTCAAAGATGTCGAATGGAACCTGGACTGGAATGATTGGCTTAGTACACAGAAAGGTAAAATACTGATCTGCAAATCGTAACAAAGCATGCAAAATTATATTCGTTAGTTATACACAACAAAAAAATTATATAATATGTAATATCATATATATCCGAAAACGTGAAATTAAAGTAGAAGTAGGTAAGGCCGCAAAACGTACAACATTTAAATAATTGTATTATACCTATGTAAATATATATATATACATACTGCGAAAAATGTGAAGGAAAGAATAGGAAAACCTTCTTATCCAAAACATTTATAAAATGAATTAATTGTTTGTTTGTTACGGATTTCGCGCAAAGCTACACGAGGGCTATCTGCGCTAGCCGTCCCTAATTTAGCAGTGTAAGACTAGAGGGAGGGCAGCTAGTCATCACCACCAACCGCCAACTCTTGGGATACTATTTTACCAACGAATAGTGGGATTGACCGACACATTATAACGCCCCCCACGGCTGAAAGGGCGAGCATGTTTGGTGTAACAGGGATTCGAACCCGCGACCCTCAGATTGCGAGTCGAGCTCCCTAACCGCCTGGTCATGCCGGGCCAATGAATTAATGATGACGTTAATTTAAGAATAATATCATATAGCTCAAAAAGGTTATAAGAAAATAGCATTTTTCTATATAAGCAGATATGTGAAATGGAATAGATTGGACCTTTAATAGTCAAACTTATGAAAAATATAAATAATTATTAGGTGTTACCTAAAGGAAAGTCAAAGAGTAATTTCGTATTGTAAGTTCAATTATGACATTTTTTGCTTAAAATATGAGAATCAACTCTTTTTTTTTTGCCTAACCATTAACGATAAATACTATGAAATTGTTTATATATATATGTATTTTGACTAATATGGTGAACATGTGTTATGGAAATGTTAGAGAGAGAAAAAAGTATTCTGGTATTTTTTATTTTTGAAAGAGCACATGTGCAGTCTTATTAACGTTAATGAAGTAAATAACATAGCAGTGACTCCCGTTATAAAGCAATTAACCGAAGCTGTAACTATTAAAGTTGACAGCTGAATTAGAAAGATTCCTTTGAAAATTGTTTATTATTTACTCCTAAAGAAGACACGTCCACCTGTCGAAAGCGCTATAATTTCATTTGGCTTCCTTTATTTTCATGTAGCCTTTTGTTTTTATCCCACATGTTTCTTACTGTCATGTAATGAATTTTAACCGTCGAACAGTTTATTTGTTGTTAATCAAAAAGCGACACAATGTGCTATCTATCTTTTGCCCACCGCGGTATCAAAACATCATTTTTAGCGTTATAGACATTCAAACTTACCGATGAGCCACCGGGAAGGGAGAGTCGAACAGACGCATCCATACTTTTTCGCGTCTGAAATGATGACTCGTGTTTCCTATAATTCACTTAAAATATCATAAGGGTAAAACTTATAGTAGGAATGGGCCAAATGTACAATATGTGCATTACAAATTAAAATATCAAACACAATGCCAACAGCATGTAAACTAAACTTTATAAACACTTTACGCACACTGTTGAGTAACAAACAAACCAACTGCAGAATAACAAGCCACCAAAGCACTCGAGAAAGTCGGTAGTGTAAAAACGAAAATTTCCCAATACTATAAGTTTGTCATTCTGACTACCTGACTGACTTACTGACTGACTAACGTTGTTGGAAAAGTATAGCTCTCTTTTTTCGCCCCCAGTGGCACAGCGGTATGTCTGCGGGCTTACAACGTTAGAAACCGGGTTTTGATATCCATGGTGGGCAGAGCACCGATAGCTGTAAATCTAAATGCACATGACTGAATTATGCTAACTTGGCTAAAAGCGTTTTTGTTTTGTGTTTTTAGTTTTACTTGTAACCTTGGTAATAACAAGTAATAAGAATAAACATTCTGAAATAGCTATTAACCAGCTAACAATACACTAGTAGTCATATTCTTTTATTACAGCACGCTCTGTGAGTTGCCAAGTAACAATTCACCCTCATATCACATGCGGGTGCACGATTGCTTACGTGCACGCACTACGTGATCAGCCTGCACCTGTATTAGTTAGATTAAAAAAAACAAAAACGAGGACTACGTAGATTCTCTACATCTAGGTTCTAACTAGAATCTAACCATTGAAAGCAAAGTCTTCAATTCTAGACATCTGACTTTAGGATTCTGTGATTAACAAAGCAATTCTATCATAGCAGTCGGTGTCTAAGATGTGAGTCTACATGGGGACAAACGCTACCACTGCCGAAATCTGACACGGCTTTGTTTGAGCACTCTGGTCTTAAAACAAGAATGATAAGTTGTATAATTTACCCTTGCACTGTTCTCAAACTAAGTGCGACTCATTGACATCTAAGGTTGTACTTGAACAATGCAATTTATAAGATATACCTTTCAAGGAAATAAAACGAGAGAAAATGAAATCTGATGTTGGTAACCTTGAAAAGTCATTGTCCCAGCTAAGAGAACATTGCTGCAACAATAAAGATAAAGTTAAAAAAGGTAATACTGAATGTGCGAAAACAAGCCTTAGCCATTAATGCAACCAAAGAAAAGGCTGTCACCCTGGCTAGATGAAATACAAACTATAGCAAACATACTAACAAAAACCAGGAAATATTGAGAGGTAGCTCTAAGAAAAGCTACGAGAAGGATAGACCTAGAGCCCAGTCACTTTCGAGACTTAGTACAAAATAATTAAGACAAACGTAAAAAAAAAATTAAGTACAAAAAATTAGGAAGTAGGAATGCGAGCACCAAAACGTAAGGAAACAAGGTAGTATATAACATTTTCTCAATTGTAAACGTTATCATAACAACATAGATAAATATTATTGAGGTATGCATGACGTCGCACATGTACAACTCGTTTTGGCAGCAGAACTTTGCAGATGACAATTTGTTTTTGCAGCACGTTGAAAACATGCTGATTTATCTAGGTTCATTGACATACAACTTCCAAAACCTGGCCAGCATTCTAGGCAAATTTTATGTTGAAGTTACACAGGTGTGTACTTTAAACGTTTATTGATTGTGATAGGCTGTAATATTTTGACAATTAAACGGTTTCAAAATCTTATTGATTTATTATTAATTCGTGAAAAGATATAAAAAAATCTTCAAGAAAATGTTAAATTTTAAAGGTTACATGTAAGTCAGGGAAGTAGGCATATGTCGTATGTGACAGCGTTAATTAATCAGATTTTAGTGAAACTGAAAACAGAAGAGGGAAATAGAATTAAACGATTACTGACTGGTGATATCGGGCAACAGATCATTTGTTGCCCTCATAACTAGTCGATAATTGTTGATTGTTTCTCATGGGTTTTTAACTGTTCTTTACGCTTGTCCAAACGCTCAATACGCCATGAAAACTGACCCTTGAATTTATAGAGGCGATGATTAACTTTATAGACGTTCATGAACTTCTTCAACATGGAGCTCTCTGTCACTAATATAATGGATGATTAGTTTATTGTCAGACGAGCGATTTTGTTTCACAACACATATACATGGACTGAGAAGTGAGAAATATTAGCAAATATGCTACTTGACTGCATGCAGTTATTTTCCAATTATAGTACGTCATCCGCACCCGAAATGTGTCAGATACCAATGATGAATTCAGTAACCATTGATCTTCGAAAGATCATGGTATTCGTCTTCAAAGCAATAACTGCTGACCTTTAGCACATTTAATAGCAGTATAGTATGGGGGATGCATGTACAGTTCAGTGGGACGAAACTCATTACATTATGAACTGTAAATGATGACATTACTACTGAAGAGAGAGAATGTCTTTGTTAGAATAAATGGAATAACTATTAAAATCATCTGACTATTTAAACAATACGCTTTAGGAATAGGTAATATCACGGAAGAAACTAAATTTGTTCATATTGAATAACAAACTTATACCATGACAAAGTGGAACTGCAGCTTTAAACTATATTACTTATCATTAGTCCTGTTTGGTCGATAATAACGAATGTTATCCAAAGAAACGTTAACGAATTTACGTTTTAGTGAAGTGCTGAAGAAAGCTGATATAAGTCCAAACCACTGTTTCCGGTTTTTGTTTGTTTGTTTGTAATTAAGCACAAAACTACACAATGGGCTATCTTCGCTCTGCCCACCACGGGTATCTAAACCCGGATTCTAGCGTTGTAAGTCCGCAGACGTACCGCTGTGCCACAGGAGGGCCTGTTTCCGGTTAATCATGATATGGGATTTTTTATTTTTTTTATAACAGAACCACAAGGGTCTATCTGCTATGTCCACCGCGGGGAATCGAGCCCCGGGTTTTAGTGTGGTAAGTCCGTTAACTTACCGCTGGCCCACCAGAGGACTAATCAGTGTGAGAAAATAAAGTAGAATTCTCACCCTGAATGTGACGTAATAGTTAAACGGCCAGGTCCAAAACCGCAAGGCTCAGACATAACCGTCTCTAGTTTAGAGCTGCCGACAAGAGGAGGAAAAAAAACAGTCAGCAGCCACCTTCGCCTACACGCCGTCTCTTAACCACGCCCCCCAGTGACAGAGCGGTATGTCTGCGGACTTACAACGCTAAAAACATGGTTTCCATACCCGTGGTGGGCAGAGCACAGATAGCCCATTGTGTAGCTTTGTGCTTAACTTCAAACAAACTCTTAACCAGATAGCGATGTTTACTGTCACTGTTATAATATATAACCCATATCTGAAAGTGCGGAATGAGTTCAGCGGCCTTTACAAGATCGATTTTCAACCCTTCGATCTATAGTCCGGAATGATAACCATTACGTTACCAACCTACAAACAGATACATAAGATGTGAGATCTAAACGGGTAATTAGACACCTTTTAAAAACCTCATTATTTTCCGTTCCCTTCACTCATATTACTGATTTTTATTTTTCACGATAGACCCAAATTGCGACACGCTGACCATATAAGTTTGCAAGTTCAAATGATTTAAATATTTAGATTTACTATTTAACAAGTTACTAGCGAAAATCTAAAGTGACTGAATATTCGTGGTCACTAGTCCGGTACCCTCACTGCTAACGGTATTTTCAGTCGTAAATCCAATAACACCTCTCAGAACAGCCTGTTTAGTAAATTTAATTTAAGCCTACTGTACTAAGTACTGAAGCATAACAGTCTTGCGAAAAAGGCTTCGTACAGAAAGATGTATTTTAACATAAGTTTGGGCTCCTTTTCAGGAAGCGGATTTTGCAATGAGCGAGATAAGTCGTACTTTTGAACGGGAAGCGGCCGTCGAATACACAGAGCCTCACATGCTGGACCCAGTTTTGTTCCTCACCCGTTCGCCGGGAGAGAAACCTCGAGCGTTTGTCATCTTTCGTCCATTTACTGTCCAAGTACGTTTCTTATTCATATCCTTAAGTTTTTCAATACGCTTAATTTTTAGAGATTCCAAGAGGAAAACAAATGAATTGTTTATGTAATTAATAAACGAAAAAAATTAAACTTACAACGTAAAAATATATTTCTTAAATTAAATATCATGATCAGATTTTTTTTAAATCACACTGTAGTAGTTAAAAACTGGAAGCATACCTCACGAAAATGAACTCCTAATTACCTGATTAAAATTATTATAATGGGATTTTCATCCCAGCTGAAATGAAATTAATATAATTACAATGGGATATTCAACCATGCTGAAATTAAAGTTTTTAAACATTAAAAACGAATTGAAATAAATCATGAGTGTTTGTTGGGAAAAGTTGCGAGTTTGACAAATTGGTCGACTTTTTACCTGGAATACTAATTTCATTAGTTAAAAATGTCGAATCTTTTTTCTTAAAGCGAAACATGAAATAAGACTAGATTTATTTTCAATCACGCTTGCGCACTCTTTTTTGAATAAATATTAAGTATCACATCTCTACAGATATGGCTGTTCATCGTTGTAGCTGTTCTTGTGTGCACTGTTTTTCTTTATGGTCTAAGTCAAGTATCCATAACCATCAACAAAACTCGAGTCAAGATTGGACAACTAGGGTGGTATCTCTACGGAAGTTTGTTAATGCAAGGTGAAGTACTTTGTATTCATTTCGGATATAATTTATATCTTTGAAGAGAACTTGGTAACTTCTGAGTAACGAAGCTATAAAAACAGTTGTAAGGATATTTATAATTGACATAAAGCATTTTTTTTTTTTTTAGTTTCAGATAATAAATGAAGCAAGTTGTGTTTTAAAATCATAAATAATATTCAACGTTAAACTGGTACACAATTAAAAACATTTTATTTAGGCTTATCTATTGCCT